GATTTTGGTGCAGGGTGATATATACGGATCTAGTCAAAATGAGAAGAAATTTGAGAGCTCCACAAGGGGGCAGGCAGCATTTATAGAAAGAAAACAGAAACCACTTGATTGACAATAGATTCAACTTTACATTAATTGTGCAAGATCTGATCAGTTGATAGGATATGATTAGCTGAAGCTCAGCTGCTGTGATTGGCTGACATTCAACTATGTTTTACAAAATACACTGCTTAAATAGAATCTTAGTTTGTTAATGTACTAAGTTACAGTGAAGGGACTGGTCAGGACCTTCACATCTATCATATCTATTTCTTATCACCCTTACAAATAACTCTAGATATTAATATAAAATTTTAGTGCATTTGTAGGTGAACAGGTGATAGGTCATTTTAACATACATTTTTTATTATTAGTGAGAATTAACAATGCATATTATTAACAAGTTAAGTTTTCCCAGGGAGTTCTTTCAAATCAGAATCAAGAAAAATATTATAAATATTTAGCATAAGCTTATGTACAATTAAAAAAAGAGTAAATAGAGTAAGCCTGTTTCCATGTTACACATAAAGATCTTATGAATCCATAGTTAGTAAGAATTTATTGTGAAAAGAGAAGCTTCCAACATTGATTCATTGATCTCTACTTCCTCACGGAAGTAGAGTCACAATGTACCCCACCTTTAAATTCGTATTTTAAGAATAGGGGAATATTGAACATCATTTTCTGAATAGGTCCAGAATGAAGATAGGCATCATGAGTAATCTCCAATGATGATGTATCTATCAAGCAAAAATGGTAATAAAGAGAAGACTTGAGGAAAGAGCTGAAATTAGCTGAAATTAGTCTTTCAACAATTAGAAGGTTATATATTTTTCACATCTGAGATGTTTGTAAAAAAACTTTACAATTTTATTTGGACTTTTCATCTGATGTATGCACCTAGCTTAGTCACTTTTCTTTTTAGTCATGAATCTGAGCCTCAACTTCCTTATTTTATAAATGAAGATAATTGTTGGACACTAGTGGCTAATGACAGAAATCCAAGCTGCCTAGGAGGCTAAAACCTGAAGGACTTCAGCTAAAGGCCAGGCAAGGAAGTTTGAGACTCCATCTCCAAAATAATAATAAGAACAAAAACAGATGGATGTGTGAGTCAAATTTAAGAATGTTGTCTGAGCAAGCTGAGCAAGTGCAAATCCCTAAGCACAACAAACAAAAACTACACAAATACAAAGAAAAAGGAATGGAAATGGAGATTTCCTTTGAGTATATTTACATGTGTTGTCCAAGATCTTGTTCTTGACAGATTAAACAAGAGATATAGAGGCCAAACATTATTAACCAGCTAATATTACTACCAGGTAAAGTATATAAGTTATGTCTATGAATGTGTTCAAATTCTAGCTCCTGTCACAATGGTTCTTCAAATAAAATACAACCAGAAATCCTTGATCAAATATCTGATCAATCTGGCAGGGCTTATTGTACGTACTATACATCTCTATCTGCAGAAGAAGCTACTGTGCTACCTCTCTTCCCATGAGAGGCCTACTTCATACAATTTGCTTCAGTCTTAAGGATGTACCTTAACCTATCAGAAGATGGAAATGAAACTAGGTTCCTTGTTTAACTTTGTGGGAATTCTGTCTGACTCTGTAATCATAAGGATGCCTGTTTAATGTAAGATACATGTCCTGTAGCTTTTAGACTTTGGAATACATTTACTGCCTATCAAAGTACATCTAAAAGTAGGGGAACTATTCATGTCTGCTTTTCCTTGTTGTAATTTATACCTGGCCTGATTAAGAGCTGAAAATGACCTGAGATTTCTCTGTAGAACCTGTAACCTAGGTTCAGGCAGCCACCTAATTCCTCTTATGAAATAAGAATTAAGTCACCTTCTTCTTAAACTGACTAAGAAGTATGAAGCTTTTTAGGAAGATATTCGTGGCTTTGGAGGCCAAATAGTTGCCTTAGTGATGTCCTAATTATTTCCATTTAAGAATTTGGTTTTTCTCCAACTGCCACTTGAATGTGTTGAGTAAACTGGTGGTTTATTAATCCGCTTTCAGAAATGTATCTCAGCCTTAACAGGATCTGATGACATCATGTAGGCAAACCTTCTGTGTTGCTTTATTTTGGCATGGACTATTTGGAGGTAACACCAAAATTCCAAGTTCCCTAGGAACAAAGCCAAGAGACATTTAGCCATTTGGTCAAAGTTAGTATCCATGGGGGCAGATCTGGGAAACTGTAGTGGAGGATCTATGGCCAAAACCGCATAATCAAATTTGGTACTGAATGAGTCTTCCTAATGTATTAGGAAAAACACATGATCCTTGGAAAGAAAAGTTGCAACTGAATAATGTTGAAAGGTTGGGAAAACAAATTAAAAGGGAATAAATAAGTAAGTTAATTTTTTAAAAAATCTGCCTGAAAATGACCTTTAAGGTTGATTGAATCCAATAGATTTCTTTAGGATCCATTTCTGGGAGTATTTTTTAATATATATTTTATTGTAAAGATACCGTACAGAGGGGTTCCAGTTACCTGAGTAAGGTAGTGAGTACATTTCCTATCGAGCATTGTTACTTCCTCCTTTTTTTCCCTCTGGGAGTATATTTCATAAGTTATTTCTAATGAATGATGTTTTGCATAGTACAATACAGAGGTGATAAAAGTTTTGGTTAAAGTTTATTTAAAAGACAGGATGTAGGTGTATATAGGTTCAATAAAAAACACCAACTTGTTATGAAGCATATTACATTATTAAAACTTTCTTCTAGTAATCTAAAACTGGAATCAATGAAAGTTAAAGATGTGTCTGCTTCATTGTCATGCAAAATATTTCGGCCTTAGAAATATTAGTATAATATTAAACCTGATGTGAATTATTGCATCTTTATGAGTGAATCTATTTATCATTGTTATACATACGTTTTATGCCTGTCAGAAAAATTAGATAGCCTACATAAAACCTTACACTCAAGAACATCATCTATTCCTGATAAGATGTGATATTCATTGGGATATTTTGACATGTAAGAGTATTATATATTATATTTAAATATTCTCTCTAGCTAGTATTTTAAATGGGGGCAAAGATGATTTAGCTATAAACCACTCTTGCTATCTAATGCAAATATACTCATTTTCCAAAGACTGCCATTGTAAAATACCTTCTGGATATGAATGAACTAAATTAAGTACCATTTTGGATTGCTTGACATCTTATTTAGGGATGACCAAAATAGGTATAGTTTTCTTTGATATGTTTTGCAGTCTGTTTACTGGAACTGAATGACTATATAGTGTTATATATAATATTATATATAGTGTTCAACACTATATATCATAGGCCAGTCATGCTAGAATTTACATATTATTGCCCAAAGTTAAATTTGCTAGTGATAATATTGGTAGTATTCATGTTTATTTTATAAAATGATCATTTTATTTTTAAAACAAAAATTTTATGACCTCCTCTATTAAACTTACTGAATGCTTTATGGCTAAGTTTCTAAACTGATATAAGTTGAGAGAAGGGATTGCTTCAAAAATGCTTAAGTACATTAATCAATGTACATAATACATTAATCATTTAAATCTAGGTACTTTTGTAATTGTTTTTCTATCCAGTTTGGAAGTTGGTATTCCCAATCCTCAGATAAATGTTCTGGTACCATCAGTGCTAGGTAAAAGATGGCGCTTCCCTGTGTCCCTCTGGCTTCAGTAGAACTTGTAACTCGAGGACAATACACCCTTGCCAACTGCAATGCATTTGGAAATTGAACCTATGAAAACATATAAATAGTTTTCAGGTCAAGATAGGGAGAAATAAGAGATGCAACTAGTGCTTGCTTTTGTATGTGTAAAGTAACTTGAACAGGACAACTTTAACAGGAATTTCACTCATGAAGACTATAGTAGCAGACCCAAAGAACCTCTTCTGCTAAATCATTAGACTTTTATAATAAAGCAAAAATTAGAAACCCACAACTAATCATTAGAACATAGACTGTTATGTCTTTCAAAAAATGTGAAAACACTTTAATATAATTTATATTGTTTCTACACAATAGATGTAGGAAATAATTTCACTTAGTGTAAGTACAATGATTAACAAAATCCCAATTTACAAAATAAAATATTCATTATCAAATTATAACATAAAATAACATTTTTTATTGAGATGTGTTTATTTGTCATTTCAGATAATGAAGTTAATCATTTTGGTATGCTTAGTAATATTCATAACTAATACAATAATGGAACGTTAAGATTGGAGTACAATGACAGTAAACCATTGAAATTTCACATTCACATTGTATAGCCACCGTGAATCCAGAAGTGAATGTTAATAATGTAAAAAAATATAAAATGATTGTAATATAACCATCTAACCATTAACATGTGGAGTTTTAAGACCACTGTTTAATCTGCTAATTTTCTCAGAAATATAAGCAGTTGCTCTTTTGTGATACATGACATGTCCTTGTGCCTTCATACTTAATTTGAAATATCTTTAGTGTAAAAATATACCAAAGTAAATAAAAAAGGAGACACCTATTTACAAAACAATATTGTATACATATTATGTAAATGCAGTTATTTCAAAGTCTTTATACAATATTGATAGAATTAGTCATTTTTCATTATTTTACCACAAAACTGCAATGTTGCAAAGGCAGGTTGTAGTTTTGAGATTTTTGATAAAAATGAATACTATTTGGCTGCCTTTTAAGATACTGCAGTTTCTCCCAATATGCTACAGAATTGAAAGTTGATTTGTGAAAACATGATGCCTCTTTCATTAAAGAAAATCCATTCTCCATTTGGAGGTGATGAAAATGCACCTGAAGAAGGGAGAAACTTATTATTTAGCTGAATGTGTTTTGTTTGATAAGCCTGATAACATCAGTCTATTGTATTAGCACCATTGGCATGGATTGTTAATATGTCCAATCACAATAAGAATGGAAACTTGCACATGTTGTATACCATCCCTACTTTTGTGGAATTTTTATCTTACCAAGTATGCTATCATACAATATAAATTCAAGTGTATAAGAATGTTCCAAAAGATGGTAAATAACAACTCTCCATTTTTACCAATATTATATATAGATTCTTTTCTGTAAATATTAAGCAAAACTGTAAAGAATTAGACTTTAAAGCAAACTCCTCTAATTCATCAGAACACAAGGAGAATTGCTTTGTTTCCTTGCCTATGTTGTAGTTGTAATACATAGTACAATTTGATCTCCTCCTAGTTCAAAAACACTGGAAATCATAAAACTTCCCGTTATATGATTTGTTTTGATGGTTAAATGCCAACCATTGCATATATTCTCTCTTTAGTTCATATACTGTAACTTGTGCTTAAGTGACTAGAGCATACTCAAGGCCTATAGCCTGTGGTACATAATTTCACAGTTTCAAAATTGTTGAGGGGAAAACCTTCCATGTTTAAGGAAGCTATGAACTAATGTAAATCTCATGAGCATCCACAGCGGTCTACCACCATGGCTGGAATTTTCCCATATATTATTTGTTCTTTGCCATTAAAATATAGCATATTAATGGGTGACATTTTTGTAGGTGTACAGCAAGGGCCTGCTGAACCCCTGGGGTTTGCTTGGTGTACAAGATGAGTATGAGGATATTTTTGTAAAAATACAAATTCACACTCTCCAGAGCAGTAATTAGCCTTGTATCTTTTGGGTGCAATAATCCAATCCCATCCAAAAGCTTCAAAATCCACAGTTAGAGGGTAACGACAGCATCGCGATTCTGTTGAGTGCTCATCACAGTCAAGGCCAAAATCTCTTCTGGATCTTTTTGGTGTGTCTGTTACTTTGACTTCTAAAAAGGGATTCTGCATGAAAATAACAATTAGAATTAGAAAGAGAGACTGAAACATGTTTCTATCTAAAAGAAGTCATTATTAGAAGAAACCAATCATTCATATACCAAATTTATTTTTCACAAGTACAGTCTTAAGGGTCTTAATCTACATTGGGCTTGATTTTCCTCATACAGCATAAAGAAATATACAGCAATACACATATCCCTCAGATCAAATTGTTCTATTTTTTTTGTTTATTTTACTTTTATCTTGACAGTACTGACATTTGAAGTCAGGGCCTTACACTTGTTCACCAGGTACTCTAGTACTTCAGACATGTTTTCAGCCCTTTCTGCCTTAGTTATTTTTCAGGTAAAGCCTTGCATTTTACCTGGGTCTTGCCTTGCACTCCGACCTATGCTTCCTACATAGCTGGGATCACCAGTGTATGCCCCACACCTGACTTGTTGGTTATGTAGAATTTTCCTAATTGTACCCAGGCTGGCACTGAACCTCAGTCATACTGATCTCTACTTCCAAAGTAGTTTGTATGATAGATGTGAACCACTGCACCTAGGTTCTATATCTTTTCCATTTTTGTTTTGTTTGATTATCAGATATTCTGGAGCATAGGAGATGTCTTGGAAATATGTCTGGGAAGAAAGAGAGGGGAGAAAGGGAGAGTGAAGAAGGGAGGGAAGAAGTAAGCATCCTCTCTAAATCACCCTTAAGCACATGTACTCTCCCTTTCTGTACATAGGTCTGGTGAGTATAGGAGGAATAGGTGGCCTCTCCCATCCTCTTCCCTAGGTCTTTCCTCAGGGAACTTAGAGAATAAAAACCAGAGCAAAATAGCTACCTCTGCACAGCATATGGATTGAAATGAGAAAAAGAAAGGTATGGTGATAAAGGAAGCTCTAGCTGTTCATATACTAATACAAAAAGTGAAACCCCTAAGAAAGAGGACAGATTCACAAGAAGAGATGGTGATATAGCTCTTCTCTTTCACTTAAAATTATTTCTTTTCAGATATTCAAAGAGTAGTTTCTTAACCTTGGTACTGGCTCAGTCTTTCCATGTATTTGAGACTTTCCTTGTGAAAGGAAAAGTCTAGAGAATATGTCTTATTAACCACCTGCTTAATAATAAAAGCTTTCCAAATTTGCAACTTTGACAATTAAAATACCTATATGAAGAATATTTTCTCAAATAATTGGTAGTAGTTTTAAAATCTTATGTCAAAATTAAAATAGACCTGGTTGTTTCTCATGTGGAAAGTTAACAGTTTCAATAGATCATTTTGAAAATTATAGTCTTTTAAGGTATATATTTTTAACTTATAGCAGATGAGATTTACTAATCAGGTATTTGTTATATCCTTGGCTTGATGTTATATAAATCAATCAGAATTCACTAAATAAACTATTACACAAGAAATCTAACCGGGTCAAAAGTAAGTTAATAAATGAAACTATAATTTTATTAGGGGTATTCAACAAAGTAAACTATACATGAATCAATTCATCACATCATTATCTTGTAAGCAGTATATTGAATAGGAGGACCTTACATGAAACCTTTTCAATAAAATATGTCTATACATATGCATAGTTAATTTCTGTAAGTAAAAAATTTTCATTTAATTTTTTTTGATTTATGCAAAGCCAAAGTTTTTAGCACATTTAGGGGAAAAATGGGAGAGAAAAGTTTTGGTTTGTCAGGTATATATACCAGAATCTGCTATGCAGACTTTATATTTTAATCCATATAGCTATGTATCATATCAATGAAAAGTACTTTATACTTCATTCTAAGCTCAGAAGAACTCTTTATGAAATTAAGAACCATGATATAATTGTATTAAACCTTCATGCAAAGTAAGAGTAATGAGAATATTTCATGGGATATGAAATTGGACACCCACTTTTTATTGGGTACAGGGCTACCAACAGGGTAAAATACTTTTGTCTGGTTTATGAGCATGGGAAATTGGTATTTATGTCCCACTATTATTCATTCATTTTATGAATAAAATCCTAACTAGGTTGTTAATAAGTTATTTTCAGTTATCACTTACCAGCCCATCCTCTCCTGGTCCTGGGAAGGTTACAGCAAGATCATAGCCATTCTCATCTAAAGCTTTTATTTCAATGCCTAAGTTGGATTCAGGTTGTTTGAGCCAATTTTGCAACACTGTCTTCACATCAATGCTCTGCCAAATACCAGTGCCTGGGTTCATGTCAAGTTTCAGAGATCGGATTCCAGTATACCTTGTACCATCTTTCATGGGTTTGATGAGTCTCAGGATTTGCACAAACACTGTTGTAGGAGTCTTCACGGGCCTCAGATAGATCCAGAGTTGGGCCTTTACTACTTTATTATATTGTATTTTAGAGCTAAATTTAAAGAAGCAACATTTGGGCTTTCCATCCACTTGCATTAGAAAATCAGCTACAAATAAATAAAGAAGAGTTATTGAAATTATTTCACATGAAAATAGGAATAAAATCCCTCAATAATAATAATTGAGCATTTTTTTCATTTGGGAAAATGTATGCATGAAATATAATGTAGAACTTCATTCATGACTCAGAAAAAAATGCCAAAATAATTACTCCAGCTCTTTAGACTTCCTTGGATTTATGTGTTTTCAGCTGTTTTTAAGGAGTTCCCTTTCCAGACAATTGTGAACTAAAAGCTGTTTTGGGAAGGAATGAACAGTAGATGAAATTTTAAAATGATGATGATTAGAGAGAACAAGAGACACTGTGAAGGAACATCCACTTAGAATTCTTTGGGAATCTGAGTAGTTACACTTACTGAGCAGCTGTACCAATCAGTCTGGATGAAGAAACCCTTCCCCCAGGCCTGAATTACCTGGGGACAAGACACACTGAGCAACTTACTGAGCCTCAGGAATGAGCAGAAAATATAGTTCATCTGTTATATTTTGGCTCAAGATTAGCCTTTCAAAGGAACAAAATGAGGCAGATAATTAACACAAAAACTTACTTTATTCAATTCATTTCCAAAGCTAGAAAGTATTGTCCTTAGGCTTAGCCTGTCATGGTTAGCACAAGCACTAAGAATTTCTTTTTGCCTAAAAAATTTGAGATAGGACTATTTGATCGAGTAAAAAATACTTTTGAATGGTAACTTGATTATTTAATAAAGGAAACTATTTTGAAACACTTTCAAGTCTAATTTAAAGTGAATAAAGCACTGTATAAAAGCAAGATTCCTGATGGAAAGAACAAAAATCTTCCTTATCATGCTTCCTCTGACAAGAGACCTCTCTTCCTTTCCTGAGAAAGTATTCTTTCTAAGCTGACCGAAAAGATAGATGAACTATATTATCTTTCAGAAACAATATTGTTAGAGAGAAGATAAGTGTTAGTCCTCTCTTGCATGAAGAATAAAATATTTTGAGAGGTTACTAAGCAATGTAACTGCTTGGAAATACGCAGACAGGCTGCTCTCAATAAGAGGCTCATGACCGAGGTACAAGTAGGACTTTACAAGCCATATGCAACCTGATTAAAATGTCTATTTCCTAGAGTTTTTCTGATATTTAGCTCATGATTATCATTATTGTATCTTTGATTCATCATTGCCTTGACTAATACATTAAATATAACTTTTTTCTTACTGTTCAGTGGAATCGTTTTCACAGTTATTTAATTGGTGAGCAACATACAAAACTGTGGGAGATAGATTTAAACAACAGAAACCACTGTAGGTGAGCAGCAGTACTAAGTAGCTTAAAGAAATGTCTTCTTATTTATAAAAGAACTTTTTCTAAATGCATATTTTAAACAATCCAAAGCAATTACAAAATGTCATGTAAGCTTTTAACTTTGCTGTAGTGTCTCCCAGTCCTTGCCTCGGAAAAAGTAGACAGTGAAAACATAAGCATTCTATATTTTCCATACTAAACTGAACATTAATGCTGTGTAAGTACTTAATTTTCAGCCCATTAGTTCTATAAGGAAACAATACAGCAGCTTTCAATCACAATGTATTTCTTAGGAAATCTTTTCTCTCCCACTTACATAGAAGCCAACAGCTTGTTAAAAGAGCCTGAAAATAGATCTGTTTCTCATAAACACTAGAACAGTCAGCAGAACTGTTGCTATATACTAACAGAACTACTTACACTCTGTAGGCATAGTAATGATTGTTTCTGTTGTTGCGTGATAATCATCATCTTCCAAAGAACCATCACTGCTGTCATCCCTCTGGACATCGTACTGATCAATCAGTTCCCGGAGTGGAGGAGCTTTGGGTAAAAGTTGTCTTATGGCATCTTTGCTGATGTTAGGAGCTGTTTCCAAGCGAAGTTTACTGAGGATTTGAATTTTTATGGCTTCTATCCGTGAATATTTAGTGTTTTGTCTCCAAGTACATGCATTACACAGAGCCTCTTTTTCCACATTTTCTTTTTGTTCACTGTTCTCATTTAGATCCACGGGACCAGCAACAATCAGCATGAACAGGTAAATAGAAACATAGATTTGAAGCTTTTGCATGATTTAATTCAGCACAATCTTTTTTTTTCCTGGTTCTTTTTTCTTCCTTTTTCTTTTCTTTTGGTTTTGAGTAATGCCAAGCAAAATCTTAATGCATGTACAGTCAGAGAGACAACTTGCCACACCAGTGAATCTTGTATACTGTATTCCAAGTGGCTTTTTATATTCCGACTCAGCTGAGACAAGTGTCGTCAGGGTCTATGATTGGCTCTTGCTCCACAATGAATCTAGCTGTCAGAGGTTAAAACCCTGTCTGTCACAAGTCACCAAGCAGTATTTTGTTACAGTCGAGGGTGAGCTGATTCATTTGAGTACTTCATAGTCAAAATAAGTCCTCAAATAATGAAATAAATGTAACATTTGGAAAATTAAAGTTTATGTAATAATATAAATTGTACTTGCCTTACTAATCTCTATAAAATCCTTAAGTTAGAATTTAAATTAGGAAGTTTCTATTTACACTTTATACTTTAAATGTGAACTATACAAACTACTACTTTCTCAAAAGTTAGAATAATGTTTTAATGTTTAAGCAAGCATTTAAAGTAAACAATATCTTAGGTCACTTTTAGAGCTGTATAATCAAGGAAACAAAATTTAGGAATGCCTTAATTTTAAAAACAACAAAGTTAAGAATGCACTACCAATAAAAGATTTTCATCTGTAATTTGAGAAACTTGTTTTCCTGACTAAATTCTCAGCACTTGCTAAAATTGTTCTTACTATTTGCATTGTGTTTGAAATTAGTTTTAAATCATTTACTGTTTCATTAATATGAAAATTACTCTTAATGGTGAGAATTATTTTATTATTCCAAATCTAAAGTATTAGATGATTATGTTATTCTTAGTCTAAAGAATTAGATTAATATCACTCAGAAGTATTTCTTCATTATTACCAAGAAGGTAATATCAGCTCATACAAAAATCCCGGCATTTATATTAAGAAGATAATGTATTTAGTAATTGATATTGCAAGTTTAGTACAGTTTGTCTCAGTTTTCCAATAGTAAAACAGTGAAATATTTATTCTGTATGAATTGTACCAGAAGACTGTGAACACATTAAGGAGAAAGAGTGCCACAGCAGAGGGACAGCCTTTTGTTCTTTCCCAATACTGGGATAGGTTAGCATCCCTTTGCCAGTTTCTCATTTTGACCAGAGGGCAGACACCTGGCAGGGATTTGGGGTGAGATCTGGGAGCAGAGAATGGAGCTTTTTGTTCTCCCAATTTGCGTGGCCTCTATAGGGCTCAAACTCTCACCCTTGGCTTTGGGAGCCACAAGGTCTAATCAAATGAACTATTAAAGAGCAGAATAAACATGGCCAGTGAGAAACAGAAGAAGTTTCCAGGCCACAGGAGATTTTCTCTTAGTACTTCTTTTGGGGACATTTGATTCCTAAGAGATTTAATCCATCACTTTTCTTTCCAAGACAGTGTAGCGCTCATATCAAATATTTATTTTTTAGGTCACTACCATTTTTGCACACTGTACACCAATTTACTGCCTCAGTGCACTAAAATGCAACTCAGGAGCCTGAAAAGTTAATGCATTTTCATCAAATTCTTAAAAGGCATCTACACCTCTTGAGAAAAATGGCCTTACATAATGCATTGGATTTGCCCATCATTAAAGATTAAGGAAAACCAGACACAAACCATATGCCCTGAAATTTTTAGATCCTCTTTATTATGGAACAATATTAGCTCAGGTTTATAAAGTTTTATATATTTGTTTGGAATTTTTATTCTGCAATATATAAATTTTATAATGTAATTATTGCAACATGTTACTAGACACTTCTGAATAAATCAAATCTTTTTTAATGTGCTTAGAATTTCATAGCAGTTGAGTGCTCAGTCAGTAGAGCCAGATAGAACCAAGTTCAAATCTGAACTTGTCACTTCTAACTATATGACAACAGGTGAGATAATACTTAACTTCTCATATATTGAGTTTCCTCATACAGAATATTGGATATCATCTAATAATACATGTATATTGCTAAATATACCACTGTCATATGGCATTGCTAAATGTTGCAATGTCATAGTTATCATCATGTTGACGATAACTAGCACTTAGGGCCTTGCTCTTGATTCCAGGTAAGCACGTTCGTTATACTTAAAATTATCCTTCACACAGCAGCTGCCAATTACCAGTGCACAAGGTAGGCCTCTGAAGAAAGTAAAGCTTTCTAAGATAGCAAGTTAAAAGACAAATTTCAGCTCTTGTTATTTATTCTTATTATCTGGAGTAAAACAAAGATTGTCCTTTGTCCATGCAGACAATTCTCATTATTATTGGATTCCATATTGGTAAATTGTTTCCTGGCTAAAATTTATTTATAACTATTAGTACTCCTGGTACTTTTACAGTTATTCATTGACATTGGGCAGAGTGAACACATTGAGACTTCTGACACAGAGGTTCACACGGAGACCGGGGAAGGCAGAACCTTTCTTTGCTGTTTCAGTTCTCATAGGACAAACAAGGATCCATCTTTCAGCCTGCATTTTTTGTTGGTTACATTTTGGTGTGTGGGTGTTTTTTTTGTGGCTCATTTTGCTCTTTTAAAAACTGTCCTTAAACAGCATACAGAATGTGGTAGAACGGTGGCTGCCTGCAATAGTTACTGATGGACACAGAGCTTCTATTTCAGGTGAGAAGTTCTGGAGATAAAGTAGGGATAGTTGTACAGTAGTGTGAAAATGCTTTCTGTCCCCAAACCACACACTTAAAATTGGTTAAAAGAATAACTCTTATGTTAATTATACCATAATTTTTTAGAAAGCTGTTCTATGCCACAAGAAAAGATTGTACTGTAAAAAGTGCATGTATTAGACAAACTTGATTGAGGCATGAGTTTAGTGCTGTTGGAGGTGAGTCCAATGTTAATAAACAGATGCTTTAGATGAAGTAAGATGTCTTTACACAGAAACACAAAACAAAGAGCCATATTAATTGATTTATTAAAACAAGTTACAAGTACTAAGTAGCTCACCGAACCCTGTATTTCTCTGGCTTATTATTTGCTAATTCTTTGTTAACAATGAGCTTAGAGAAACTAACTACCATGAATAATAATTGATAATAATTGATGGTACCTAATAAACTTCTCTAGAGGATAATATTAAATGGGTCATGGAGTACCCCAACAATTTCAGGTCCTTTTTAAAAATAATATGACAAACTTGTAACTGTAACCCCTCTGTACAGTATTTTCACAATAAAAACATTAAAAATATTATGACAAACTTCCTTCATCATATTACAAATATTTGCAGATGCTCTCAAAACACCTTTGAGAATATAAAATGTGTTTGCCAAGGCATGCTTATGCTTTTACTCTTTCTAGATTCTAGAACTATTGAGTACACTAATGTACAGATCTACAAGAAGTTTAATAATATACATTTTCAAAAAATGAGGCAATTAGGAATTTGAATGAGAAGAGTTCATAATAAATTCAATTATTTGGAGAAAACACCTCGAAAGCAAATCTACCTTGTATCTGAATATTCTTTCCACTTCCTTTTAATAATCTTTACTATTATTCTTTTGTGATAATTCTTTTTTTGGGGGGTGGGGGTCTGAACTCTGGGCCTGAGTGCTATCCCTCAGCTCTTCTGCTCAAGGCTAGCGCTCTACCACTTGAGCCACAACGCCACTTTCGGCTTATTTCTTTTTGCTTATGTGGTTCTAAGGAATTGAACCCAGTGCCTCATGCATGCAAGGCAAGCGCTCTACCACTGAGTCACCTTCCCAGCCCCTGTGATAATTATTATAGCCAGAAAAAGCCTATAGGGTGCTCAAATCGCAACAACATGAGAAAAAAAGCCAGCCCACATTGAACCACACTGTTACATGAACTGTATGCTCTAAAAAAATTTTTAAGATCCCCAAAGCCTTTTGTTTGTATAGGTCAAATCTGTGAATCCTTAATATATTTCCAAGGAAAGCTGAGACATTTTAGTGAATAGGTTTATGCAAGTGTGCATTCTATTTGCTGACAGAGATGATATATGCCTCCATCATAAACCCTCCAGGAAACTCTATTGGACACATGAGAAAGAATGAGACAGAAAGACAAAAATAATCTTAGAATTATTATGAAAATACATTTTTACTACACACACTGTTTTGGAATCGCATCTATAAGCTACATTCAGGGAACCCTAACCCTAAAATAGTAACTTTTATACTATTACAGTTGAATATTTCCCCATTACTTGAATTCTGCTCTTCTAAATAACTATGATTTTGCTTTTAATGAGATGAAACTTTCAAGTAGGGTAATTTTTAAGCAATGTATATTTATGTAATGGTACATAATTAATTGTTGCTAGAGCAGAAGTACAAATATTATTATGTTATAATCACCAACCACAAACTCATGGCAAATCTAGAAGACATTTCCAGAATATTCATCCATCTGATGGTACACAGTCTGATATCTCTAGGCTATCTTGAGGGATTTCTTTTCTTTCTTTCTTTCTTTTTTTTGTCTATTGTGGAGCTTGAACTCTGGGCCTGGGCACTGCCCCTCAGCTCTTCAGCTCAAGGCTAGCGCCCTACCACTTGAGCCACAGCGCCACTTCTGGCTTTTTTCTGCTTATGTGGTGCTGAGGAATCGAACCCAGGGTCTCATGCATGCAAAGCAAGCATTCTCCCACTGAGCCACCTTCCCAGCCCCTGAGGGATTTCTTTTTTTTTTTTAATTTAATTTAATTTTATTTTATTTGTGAACATACTGTACAGAGGGGTTACAATTACATGGGCAGGATAATGCGTACATTTCTTACCAAGCATTGCATACCCCTGAGGGATGTCTTATGGTTGGTCTTCAGGTCAGTTTTGAGTAGACAACATTTGTGCTGTGAAAAGGGAGCTATTAGGGATTTGGGAAAGGGCTAAAGGAAAAGGGAGAGGGAGAATAAGAGGGTCTCAATGGGGATGGATATATTCAAAGATGGTGTCTGCATGTATGATAATGTCAGAGTGAAACTCATTACTTTTTACAATTAAAACATGCTATAATTAAAGACATTCATGTTGTGACAATGTCTGATGGTAGTGTCTCTGTTAACAAAATGCTGCAATCCATTGTCT